GCGATAGCGTAACTGGTAGCGCACTTGCCCGGTAAAGCAAGAGGTGCGGGTTCGAGTCCCTTCTGGGGCGAAAGTTTTGTTCACAACCCAGCATTCTTGTAAAACTACATGCACACCTTCTGTGATCGCGAATAATTGTGACTGTGATATTTCTGGCGTAGAAAAGTCAGAAAAATGTATCAATATGCCTCGTAATTCTGCTTTCTTTACCACACTGGCTAAATCTCCACCAACAGATTATTATCGAGTACTACTTCGGTTTTTAACTCATTTCAGAAAAGACAAGGATACGATTTCCACTAACACATGAAAATGGACTTTCAACACTTCTTAAATTCGAAACCTGCCGAACTTCTCGGAAAGAGGCAATCGAACTCTTGCTGGCTGATGGCACACGGCTTTTGTAAACATGCATATTTGGTAAGAAGTTGATTCAAAGAAAAACCTGGTTTTTTGATTTGTAGGTGAATGCGCAAACACTTCAGTTATTGCCTAATATTCAGGGATCGTTATGTTCTGTTTTGTTTTGTTGGTTCTTGTTACCATGACCCACACAGCGCGCCTGTGTAATGAACAAATGAAAATACAGCCATGTTAACCTTCATGACGGCCATGCCGATGTCTCCACCCAAATATGGCAGTGGTTCATCCTTCTCGCAAACAACAACAACGGAAGCTTTCGAGCTGTGACGTAATGTGGATGCTATCTCCATAGCTGAAAAAGTCTCATTTCTGAGCTATTTGAGTGCAAGTTGCGCCCTCCTTTCTCCTCAGATTTTTACCCCGCGATTGGGCAGACGTCAGACTTTGCGATTCGCGACTGCGTGCTGGCGCGAAGTTGGCAGCGTACCAACCGCTCTCGCGAATTGCAAAGTTAGCTACTGCAATACATTGGATGGTTTCGGAAATTCTAAATTGGTCTGGTGGTTTACTTTTGAGGAGGTAACTACGACCAAGCGTGTGCGTACCAAGGGACTATAGGGGAAACTCGAAGCAGTAGCAAAGGTTCCACGGAGGCGAGGTTTGGCGCATTCGTGGCGAAGGGTGCGGTGGTGTTGGTGAGCAGTTCTCGAAAATCACACGTCTTCAAAACGCTCCGCTCACTTGTTTATTTGGTGATTTGAGCGGGCCCTGTTGCCAATAGCGGAATCGTTCGCTTCCGTTCAAACACCATTTGATCCAAGCACGCGTATTTTCTCACTCGTCTGTGTAAAGCGGTTAGCATACATTATACGAAGTTATACGAATAGACCATCGGGCTAACAATTCCAGACGGCTTCTTTCTTGGCGCCGCTCATCGGTGGTCGATATGAACGGGCAAATGGGGAGGAAGTCCCATTTTGCGTGCGTCGACGTTCTCTGCTTTTTCGTCATCGTACCACTAAGCAGCACCGAATGACCGCCGTCTGAACCCTTCCAGGCCATTCGTGATCGAGTTTTTGACGTTCGATAATTACTACTTCGGGCAAGTTCTGCTAATTGCAAAATAGTGTCCCAGTTGCTACGGTTGTTGCGAAACGACCGGCTTCGGATTGAGACCTTGCCTTATCCAACAAATTCTGAATGCTCAGCTCAGCCACTCAACCGCCGAGTAGCAGTAGTTAGCACTACAGTACTGTAGTTTTGATGAAAAGTACCGCAGTCCACTTCCATCAATTGAAAGAGTCATTTTGCGATCAAGGGCTGGCCCAATCCTGCTGAATGCGAGCTTGCAATGGCGCTCTATTGAGAGTATTATGACAGAACGCCGCCTCCTCTTACCAGATACAGTAGCCACTATTTTATCACAGAACTCGCTATATTGAAAACCTCTTAAACTTTAGGAAAATCGGATCCAGCCAAAGTCCGTAGAGACCGGCTTACCTTAGAGCGGAAGATTAGTGAAGGAAATTTACTCCTAACTTCTAGAGGTTCTGCTTTAGCAGCAAGGGTCCTCAAAAGCAGGGCACAAGGGACGCGATAGAAGAAACCGCTCAGCTGTTCTACACCGAGCACATCACAGCAGTATTACTATCCTTGCTCCCATACCCGCCCCCTTCCCATGGAGTAATGTGCAGCACAGCGCATCAACGTGACCATAGAAGGTTCAAAGAAGAGGATTACTACCTTGAAAGGGGTAAAATCCGTGAGAAGACGACGAGGCAAAGGATGGCGAAATTTGTCAGTATAGAACTTGAACTATACCCAAGTATGATCCTCCTATGCAGACTACGCGTTTTCCTTCAGCGTTGGCAGCGATAGCGTTGGCATCTTTTGCAACACGTAGGGTGTAGACGTTCTGAAATATCATAAAATAATGTCCCTCAAGTAGCATAATAGGCTAGCTTTACAATTTTCACAGCTTTTACAATCTGTATAGTGTCGCGCCCAGGTACAAAGTTACCCAGAAGGTACGCCCTAGGTTTATTTAGGCATCGCTCCCTTCAATACATATTGCCACTTCTTCTGTGTCGTCAACACTGTGCCATGCGGTACGGTAATAGGTCAACAAATCGTCTCTTTGCTTCACGGAATCTTCCTGATCACTGACATCATGAAGTAATTAATTCGAAATGGGGGATAAGTATTCAGAAAGATGTCTGTCAAGGTTTCGCTGTGGGTCTCTGTAATCCCATTTTTTCATCTGGGTGACACTACATAGTGATAAATGGGTGCGTCAGGCCGAAACTAGACAAGAATCTCACGAAAAGACCTTATCATGAATGTTATCCAAGCCTGCTGAAAAGCGTGTGAGATGATATCCCGTCTATAGTCACGTTATTCAGAGTTTGGAGGTTTTTTTCAATAATGATTGAGAAAAATGTCAATGAAGTGGCCGAGAAACCTACCCTCAAGTCAGCGCCTGCAACATTCAGCTTTTCGGCAGCAACACCAAGAGCCAATACAAGTTTGCTGTATCGCCATCTCTTTCCGGTGGACATGGCGATGCTGTGACGATTGGAGTCAATTCCGCTCACCTGCAGAACTTCTAATGTCAAAATGCGATAAATTGATAAAGCAACCGCCAATCAATCAGCGCAGCAGTGATTATAAAGAATCGAGAACAGAATCCTTTAATGGTTGGCTAATTTTTTACACCAATTCACTATGTACAGTTCTTTAAATTTCTCCTGCTCCATCTATTCGAAGGGTGCTCTACTGCGAGTACAGGTGACGGTTGTACTTGTCGCACTCTGGACGAAGGGTAAGATTGTCTGGAAGGTTCCTTGAAGCACGGCACAA